CAGCTAGGTGTCTGCATTGCAGGTCATCTGTGTTGGAACAAAACACCCAGTGCTTTTATGTCTTCTAGTTTTCTTGTTTGTACTTTGGAAGTGTAAGGCTGAATGTTCTGAAATCCCACAGATCAGGGGTTAGGAGCTCTTCAGCTAAATGCCATTTGGAGCCTGGAAGTTTGTGGGAAATTATGTTAATATCAGTGAATTTTTCAAATGATCCTTTTTTAAAAATTGTAAAGAAATTTGAACAAAATATTTTTAGCTGATGATTTAAAGTTATTTACAACAGGTTGTATTCTTTAATTAATAGAAATTAAAGTGGCAAATGTTGTGAACAGATTTCCTGTAGATTTTGTGGTTTGAACCTTCTGCTGATATAAAGGCTGGGGAAAAAGTCAAAAATTCTAAATTTCTGGAGCAGGAAAGCCCTTCCCCAGCTCTGATTAACATGAGTCTTTTCTGCCCACAGTTTTGAATTGTGAGGGAGTCAGCATCTTGTAAGATATATTTCTTAACTAAAGCAGTGAAATAAAAGCCTCAAGCCAGAATGATCCCTTGTGTATCTCATATATTTGTCATACAAGTTAAAAAATAAATAGTCTGCTTGCGGTTCCACTAGAATACGTCATGGTATTTTGTGGTCATGTTTATCAAATTCATACTGAAGGAGACTCTGGAGCTGGAAATAAGAAATCTTTGTATATAGCGGTGGGAAATCTGGTCTTGAACATGGCTATTAGCCCTGTGCTGATTTAGGAGGAGTCAGGCTGGATACTTGTGGTAGTTGGCCTTGACTCAGAGTGTTAGGATCTGAGCTACTGGCTTTGTTCCCCTTTTTATGAGCCTTTTGGAAGGATGATTGCCAAAATGGTCCTCAGTGTGGCCATATCATTTACAGGTGTGTATTATAGATTGATTACAATTACATTTCAGGCTTCATCCAAGTCAGCTTCCCAGCCCAAGACTGAATTGCTGCTGGATCTATTCTAGGAATGGATTTTATCTTTCTGTGACCCTGAACGGAGCAGAGCAGTGCTCCGAGCAGCACAGAGGATGCCTTGCTGAGCTGCCAGGAACGGTGTCTTGCAAGAGTTACACTGGTCACAGCACTGAGAATGAGGGATGTCTTTTTTCCTCCCTTGTGTTTGGTCTTCAGAAATTTCCAGTAAGGTTCATGTGCAAAGGATGACCTGGGTGTGGTGCACCCAGTGCTTTTGCTATTTTGAGACCTTCAAGCACTTAACAGTACAAGAGGGGTGTGCTGCCATTCAGAGGGACCTGGACAGGTTGGAGAGGTGGGCAGAGAGGAACCTCATGAGGTTCAACAAGGACAAGTGCAGGGTCCTGCACCTGGGGAGGAATATCCCCGGATACTAGTACAGATTAGGGGTTGACCTGATGGAAAGCAGGTCTGCAAATCACTATTTGGGAGTCCTGGTTGACAAGAGCCAGCAATGTGCCCTCGTGGCCAAGAAGGCCATTGGGATCCTGGCCACAGGATCCAAGAGGAGTGTTGCCAGCAGGTCGAGGGAGGGGATCCTGCTCCTCTACTCGCTCTGGTGAGGCTGCACCTGGAGTATTGGGTGCAGTTCGGGCTCCCCAGTGCAAGAGGGATGTGGAGCTTCTAAAGAGAGTCCAGCGTAGAGCAACAAAGATGATGAAGGAACTCGATCATCTATCTGATGAGGAAAGACTAAACAAGCTGGACCTCTTTAGCCTGGAGAAGATTGAAAGGGGATCTGATCAATATGTATTAAATATCTGAGGGAAGAATGTAAAGAAGATGGGACCAAACTCTTCTTGGTGGTGGCCAGTGACATAACAAGGGGTAACAGATGCAAATTGAAACACAGGATTTTCCATCTCTGTGTGAGGAAGAACTTATTTCCTGTGAGGGTGACAGAGCCCTTGAACAGGACTGGCCAGGTTGTGGAGTCTCCTTCTCTGGAGATCTTCAAAACTCACCTGGATGGCACCCTGTGCCACGTGCTCCGAGTGTCCCTGCTTGAGCAAGGGGGACTAGATAATCTCTAGAGGTCCCTTCCAACCTCAACCATTCTGTGATTCTGCAACCCTTCTACTTTTAGCCCGTGTCATGCCAGAATGTCCTTTGAGGAGCAAAATGCTTTGGTGCATCATTCCCTGCAAAGTAGGGCAAAATGCAGTGGCCTGGGATATGCGGGGGATCAAACAGCTGATCTTGTGATCTTGGACACTTAGGCAATTTGGACACAGCTGATGAGTTCCTTGAAAGCACTTCGTTTCTCTTGGGAGCAGCCTTTGTGGTGGCCAAAGCTGTGAGAGAGGCAATGGGTCCTTTTAACAATCAGAGCAGATCAAAAACGTTTCTTTAGATATGATTATGCTGGATCTGTTTGTAAATTCTTGATAATGCTGTTAACCACAGAAGTAACACCTTCTAAAAGAGTGTAAAATTAGTTACAGAAACTACAGCATTGTGGAAATTAGCCTTAATACAGGACACAGTGTACCTGGAAGTGATATATTATGTGGATGAAACTAAGAATACTTTAAAAGCTTGCAGGAACAAAGAAAAAAATACAGGGTCAGGTAAAAAATTAAGACTGCAATTTCTTTCTTTATTATAGTGGTAATGAAATATCCAAAAATCAATGAATCATTTTTCGCTTTGGCAAAACTTCCCATATTTAATTACATTCTGAATCTGCTAGGAATATTAATTTTTTCTAAAGTCAGCAGATGCAATAATAATTAATAAAAATCCAGCTAACACTGGATATCTGCCCACATTTATGTTAAAAAAAAAAAAGACTACTAAAATTTCAGTATGGTGGTGATCTTTTTTTAACTGTTACATTATCTTTCCACACCAAATTTTTTTTTGTGGGCAGTTTCATGCCTTTAGCCTCAGATATGTTAATCTGAAATACAAGATCAGATACGATAAGAAGAATATCAAAATTCCTCACTGCCACATGTATTACATTGTAAAACCTGCTATTAGAGAATTTTCACATTTCATTTAATCAAATACTACATGCTTACAAAACAGTACAGCTTTTATTATTATTTGTTTTTTTTTTTTTAATTTGTGTTCGTGTTTTGGGCCTTTTTGTCCTGATGCTAAATAAGATTTGCATACGCTTTGTTTAAAAAAAAAAAAGTGAGTTGATCTCACTGATGCTGAAAGAACTAGTCATAAAATATCCTAACAGGAGAAGAAATTCTCAAGCTTGAGCCCTAGTGGATCACTGCATCTGTGCTAACAGGACAATGTCCATTTCTTCATTGTGGGGCTAGAAGACCTTGAAAGAAAAGGATTGTGCCAAGTGTGTTGGTGTAGAATGAGCCCCAAATGAAGTAAAAGATCCTTCACAGCTGTCTACAGATATGAAGAAAAAGATAGGGAATAGTATTTGTTAGTGGTAGGTGCAAACCACCACCATTTGATGTGGGAGATGTTCTCAGGTTCTTCCATTATGCAGAAACTTTCTCTTTTCCTGTCTTAGTCTATTTCAGTTCAGGACATTCATGCACAATTGTTGTTTAGATCAGCAGAACATGTTTCTGAAAGCCCAGCAAGGACATAATTAAATTGAAATGATAGCCTTGGAGAGACTGTAGAGTAAACACGTAGTTGTGTAATCAACCACAAAGGATTTTAAAAAGCTATCATACAGTTTTATAATTTTGGTTAACGTACTATTTAGTCAGTTTTTTTTTTTTTCTTCCTAGCTGTTCTGCAGAGAAACCTGACCATCTTCCCTTGCTTCCTTTTCTGGAAACTCTGCACTCTGACTCAATGGTTTTGTCCCTGATGGAAGTAAATACAACTTGTAGGTCCATACTAATGTAGTGGTCCTGTTCTTGAAGTATGGAGAGCCGATTTGAGCACCTAGGACTATTTTTCTTCTAGCAGTAGAAAATCAGTGAGTGCTGTGTATGGTTTGCTTGAATTCCTTGGCCAGTTGCCTGAGGAAGGCATGAGCATGGATAGACCTGATTGGATGTGCATGGATGTGCACTGATTACATCCTCATCCCCAGGGATTACTTTCAAAGACTGAAGTGCATTTCCAGGGTTAGCATTGTTAATAACAAGGACTTTTGTTTTATCTATTCAGGAAACTGTGTGTTAATCACAGCAAATGAAGCTCCTTAGGCTCCCTGTATCTTTTCACTTCTTAGGATGAAGTCCAATGAAAATACTCACTTAACACTTTTGTTTTCTTTAAGGTATGGACACTATGTGGAAGGCACAGGCTCAGTTCTTCAGACAGCAGCAGATGTGCAGGTAAGAATGTGTAGACTAACATGTGCATGTTTTATTTTAAGACTCATTTCATCTGTGTTCTGCTTTGCTGTTCTGAATTTATTTTAACAAAAAGGCTTTTAAAGCTACATATTTCAGGCAACTGAATTCTCAAATAACAGTTTATTTAAATCAAAATTATATGTGGGCCTCTATCTGTGGAGAATACAGTTGCTGTTATTTTATTAGCCATAGCATCACATAGTGATTTCACAGGGGTGTGTAAAAATGTTAAAATGGACTAATTCTATGAATAACTTAATTTATCATGTTATGATTCTTCAGCCTTTTTTTTCTACACTGGTGATCCAGTAAGCCTGTCAAATGTTTAAAATACTTGAATAGAAATGTGTTTTCTATTAAACGTAGTCTCTAAGCTTTGGAAAGGTTAAAAAAATACATGGGCGAACCATTATTTAAAGATACTTTTTACAAAATATATTCTGTACATAAGTGTATCCTCCTGCACTTCTGTGCCATTCAAATTTTACACGGCATTTTTGAGCATATGAGGAATCCAACATAGGAATTTAGAATAACCTCAAAGCAAATGTATTAAAACAGCTGCATTGATACAGCAAATTTTTGTAGATGGTCAGGCTATTGAGTCATTCGTCATATTCTGTTGTTGAAAAATGTTTATAGTCCTTTGATTGTCTCACTGAATATTGCTATGGCTTGTAACTGAAGGAAGAAATGATGGATTCCCACATGGCAACATTGGTTTCTTTCTTGTAAATGCATGCGTTGAGATGTTGGCTGAAAAAATGTAACACCAATCATAATTTCAAACAAAACATGCTGTTGTCTCTGGCACTTCGATAATCAAAGAGAGAATCTGTTATGATGTGAGTGTTACAGCATAGCTTTACATGTTCTGCTTGTATCAGTGATATCTGTTTGTTGTTTTGGATCTTCTTCATAGCTTGAATCAGTGTTTAAATGCATTGAGATGATACCAGAAGAAGAGAAGCTTATGAAGCTGTCAACATTAAAACTGAGGTACTTTACCCCAAGAGAAATAGCAAATCTCCATGGATTCCCTCCAGAATTTGGTATGTGCTTGCAAAGCCCCTGTTTCTACTTCATTTTTATGAAATTCTGACTTCTTTTTTTGATGAGTAGTAGTTTATGCTTTTTGTTCTGCAGCCTTTTTCATACCACTTTAATGATTGGTTCTTATTACTTGGCTAACATTTCTCTGAATTTCTATTAGTTTTTTCACACTTTATAAAAACTAATCTTTATTATTGTATTTGTTTTCATAAATCAAGGAAAAAATAGTTTTGGAATGAGAAATGCTGTATTGCTGAATGGCAATGAAGGAAGACCTTTGTTTTAAACTACGCAGCAGGCAGGATTACCAACAACTGTAATAAGTCACATATCCTGCCAATTTAGGAAGTCTGTTGGTTCTTGGTGTCTGAACCACTTGCTTTTTCTCTTCCACACATTTGCAGCTGCTGACAGAGAGGGGGATTTCACAAGATACAGATGCTTCTTTGTTCAGGAGCAGCCAGACTCTTCACTTAATGATCTGTTAAGACCTCTATTTTCTAGAAAAGGCTGTTGGTCCAACAAAAGCTTAGACCAACAGCAACTAGCTGCTGGCTGAAGAAGGTGAGATACTTAATTTCCTAACTATTTTTGTGGAAAAAAGGGAGTCAAGGAGCAAGGCTACACAATACCGTTGTACTGCATATAGGTCAACCAGAATTAAGTCTGCAACAAATTCACCAGAATTCCTCTTCCCCGTCCATAAATAAAGATAAGAAAGCCTTTTAGCCGCTAAGGAGCCTGGCTTGCTGCCATCCCATCAGCTCAATTGATTATCTCTCAGCAATACCAGCCTCCATAGAATCAGATGTCGGTGACCTTGAGTAATTTGTTGTATTTTCCTTTGAATTCCCATGTGAGTTAGTGCTTTAAAGAAGGCTTGTAGTTTGTATATATTTTCCTTTTGTAGATATACTTAGTTTTCTCATTTACATTGCAAATTATTACATTTAAAAAACAGTATCACGGTTGCTAAGTCAAACATTCAGAGTAGACAGAACCAAGATTGCTTTTATAACAGTACTTAGTGTGCTCTGTTGAGTTATGTGCCCGTATGCAGGGGGCACGTTTTTCAGAGCCTGCCTTCTTTAATATTCTGCAGACAGCCTTTGTCTTAGCACAGCTCTCCTCCATATTGGCTTAGGCTAATGTAAAGAAACCTAACAAGCTCAGCAGGGCTGCATATTGAATTACTATTCAGTGTGTGGTTTTCTCATCATTCTGCATGCATCCTTTGAGTTATTAAAAGTTTATCACACTATTAAGCTTTATTTTGAACACAGACTTGTCCATTTCTTTTTAAAATATGGTGTTCAATATAATAGCTGGGTTTTCACGGACATTAAATCTGTCTTTACAATACCAATGAGGGATGTGGTGGGGTTTATGATTATATTTTACAGAGGGAGGACTGAGGCAGGGAGAAATTTATGTTTGGAAAACACCATTAGTTTAGAGTGTCCAGCTTGTAAAAGCTTGTGAAACCCTGAGCATTCTTGTTTCAAAGTGGCTGGAGTGAAGCAATGGTTCCTCTGCTCAGAGCTCATCTTCGGGGCAGCTGTGAGCTTCGTTACTTACACGAAAAAGGAGGGAACTCTCACAACAATTTGAGCTTGTGGAAGTGAGAAGCTTCCAGGTAGTCACCATCTATGGAGTGCTCATTTAACAAAGTTGTCTTGTCACCTAGGAAGTGTGCAGTAGTGTCAGGGGCAGATTCCCATGCTGAAAGGGGAATCTCTTCCCGTTCTCTTTTTGTCTGAACAGTGAGACTTTCCTCACAGTTCCTGCAGGCCCCTGTCTTGCTGCACTACACTCCCAACTTCCACAGCAAATGAAACGAGCCTTTCTCATCCAGCAGTCCCCTCCGTCACACACTCTGATTCACATGCAGAATAAGTCTTTCCCAGTACACTGAGTCACAAGCCTGACATTTCTTTTCTCTGTGTTTGAATCTAGAAGTTTCCCAATGTGTACTTGCAAAAACTGTTATTTGCTTCTAGGTGATTAGAATCCCTTGGAAACTTCGCTACTGTAATCTTAAATTTCTTCTGAGTATTTGCAAGGTTTCTCTTTTTTTTCACTCCCAAAGACTTGTAATTTACTATATTTATAGCTACAGCAAAGCGTATATTCCTGACAGCATTTGTTCTGTGTTAAAGTTCAAGCCATTGGTGGGAAATGTGGAATTTTCAAAGGAAAACGTGCTATAATTTCTCTACACTTACATTCTGTAGTGACAGTACCATTTGGGCTGAATTTTTTAACAAAAATCCTTCAGATGTACCCACTGCAAATGTATTGGCCCCAAAAAACTGAAGAATGAGAAGACTGTAAGCTGAAAATAAGCTTTAAGTGAAGTGAATGTCAGGAAGCTTTGGTAGCAGATGCTGTTCCTAGCTGCGGCTACAATTAACAAAAGGAGCCGTTTGGTTTAAATGGATCTATAAGGCAACCCTCTCCTACATGGGATATGCAGAGTTACAGTCATTGTTCTTTCTTAACATTAACAGATTTATGTGTGCTTTTAGAATCTGAATGTAGTAATTGCACTAGGGGTCAATGAAATACTGCAGTCATTTGCCTCAGTCAGTATCATGGGTCCCACAGCAATATTGTTAAAAGTGACCACATGATTCTTGCAACTCTGACTTATTCTCATCAGAGTGACATCAGGATGATCCTTTTCCTTTTTTCTATTAGTAACGTGTCTACGTTACTGAGAAACAAACAGCAGCGTGCTGGAAGGTCAGCACTCTGGTAGCAGGTATTGCTAAGACTGCAGCACTGTCAGGTAAAATATGGCCTAGATGATATGAGGAAAGTTCAGAGAAGTTCAGAACTGTGCACCAAGTACCCACACACTGTGAGTTAGTGCATCTGTCCTCCTGATGTAGCCTACTCTTGAGCAGGAATAGAGGTGGTGCAAGATAAAGCTAACGGGCAGGAAGAAGGGGCTTGGCATAAAAGAGGCAGTGAGTCCTGAAAATAATCCAGGTTTAGAGCTGCCAAGAGGCAGTAGGAGCAAACCTGGAATTTTTACTGTTTGGATATGATTATTGGGCTATAAATGTGTATGTGTTTGGGTGTACCTGCACACTCATTTTTATATATTCTTTTATAATTGGTAAGTTCAGAGCCTTATCCTGTGACTTAAGCGAGAGGTTTGTGTGGGAATTTAAGTGATTGTTCCAAAGAGAGAAGAATTGGGTGTCCAAACGTGAGTGCCAGGGAGCTGGGCAGAATGGCTGGAACTGGCAGAAGATGTGTTTACCAGAGTAGTCCATGTCCAAGGCATTAATAGTTGGCAGAGAGGGATGGAACAGCTCCTCCCAGACACCTCCTCCTCCTCCTCAGCTTCCCGCCCTTGGCTCGGCTGCTGTCCAGCCGTGCTCTCTCCTGAGCCTCCCTGGAAGAGGGTTTTGCTGAAGGGCTGTGAAAGCTTCCGAGCGTGTCTGTCACTTTGGCACGCTCATTAGGAATATCCCTCAAAGCTGGTCTGGGTGCTGCTGTCCACAAGGGCAGTTAGGTGTTTCTTCCTAGGGTCTGATTAAATAATATGAGGTGGTCAGGTTTGAGCAGCTCAGCGAATGACATGACGAGTTGAACCCCTGCTGCTGTTCACCTTTCAGTGCAGTTACAGCAAATGCACTCACACTCGCAGCTAACACGAGTAGCAGTGGGAGCCAGGACAGCTACAGCTGACCAGCTGGGTATTGGTAACTAAATTCTCAGCTCCTCTGGAAGAACCAGTGGAAGCCTATACATAAGCTGCAGTCTATCATAACTATATAAAGAATTGTTCATTAAAATAGCAGGAGACCAAATCTAGGAACAAACCGAGACTAATGGCGGTGAAATACGTGTTTCTGTTTTAGGCTTTCCTGACAAAGTAACAGTAAAGCAACGCTACCGTCTCCTGGGAAACAGCCTAAACGTACACGTGGTGGCAAAACTCATCTCCTTGCTCCTTGGAGAACCTGGAAACGGAACCTGATGAGTGTGACTGATGACAGAAAATACTTTCATCTTTAAGAGAAAGCCGATAGTGGCTGAACAAAAATCCTAGCTAAGAATAACACCAGTCCAGATACTCTACTGAGCAGTTCTCATGTATTTTTAATATTGTATTTATGGTGGAAATGTGATGGAAAGACATGGAAAATGTTGTCTTCATCTGTAAATATGTGATCCATTCTTAAAAGAATTATTGTATATAAAGTCTGAAATTCTGATGTGTTTTTTGTAGCCAATGAAACTATTAAATGTGGTATTTTCTATATGAATTTTAATGAGTTTGTCTGATCCTCTCCAGATACTTCTAGGTTTCTGGAACCCAACTCTGTCTGAAGGAATTTGTTTCAGGGTAACCAAATAAAAATATTTCAGGGTTATCACAACTCTGACAATAACTTGGCTGTTTCTGTTTTCGTTTAAATTATGCAGGATGAGATTATGTGTCTTTTCCAAAAACCTACACAATGCAAGATATAAAAACATTTTAAAACTCTGTGCCTGCCCAAGCAAGGGTTTCTAGGGAGAAAAACTATATGGTTGTCTTCTAAGACTTCCTCACAAAACTTGATACTACTGCTAGGGTGAAAAGGAGTAAATGTTGGGATGCGCCCATGCCCTTTGGCCACCCAGAATGTCCTTTACCTTGTGCTGATTCCTTGTTTGTTTCTTCTTCACCCTTAGCACGCATGCAACTTCTGGACTACTACACCAGGAAAAGCTTGGGCTGAGCCATTGCAGCCTGTCTTGTTCTCCAGGAACAGTTTGGCCACTTGAGGTGTTCCAAACACAAAAGTGGAGTGGAAATAGATTCTCCTGAAAGAGAGCACTCTGGATCGGGCTTTCTTGTCTTGGAGAAAGATGAATTCTGGATCTCTTCTTTATACAGTTTCTTATAGCACTGTAATAGCAGAAAGGAGTAATAATTTTAGGTTGTACCTGTTACTAAACTTTGCAAGAAGCAAGTGTGTTTTTGGACTATGCAATGAACTATAGCTTATGTTTACTTGCATATATTTATTATTTAAATTTGTCAGCAAACCAATAACCAGTGACTGCATAGTCTTGCTCTTGGAGATACATGCAAATGGGAGGATCTATTCCTCTCTAAAGTGATCTAAACAGTCAAACCATAACAAAGGAAATCATAATTTTATGTACAAAATTCTTTAGTGTTTAAATGATATTTTAGTGCTGTACATGCCATTCCTTGGCAAGCTGTATTAAAGTGTAGCTTGAACGTTACCTATCTGCATGTAAAACTATGATATAGCAATGCAGTCATTTAATGTGACTGTGAAGAATAAAATTTGTTTACTAATCAGATTTGTATCCAAAACAGATAATACTTAGAAATAACAGATTTCAGCATTGTAAATACATCTTTGTGTATTTTACCCATCCTATTCCTGGAAAGTCCGTGCGGCTAAATTGGGTGAGCTGTTTCTTCTCCCATCTATTTGTCACTATTAGACTTGTTTACTGAGCTCTGTTGAATTGCACCTGCTTGACCTCGCTTGATGATCATGTTGCTTTCCTTTTTTTCAAGCAGTCTCATGATAATAAGTGTTTTGCAGCCTACATCTCTACAGTACTTTGCAACTTCAGCAAAAGCATTTTAACGGCAATGAAATGTGATTACAAGAGCAGCTGAAAGGTAAAATGAGTGAAATCTGCCTGACAACTCAGAAATTGGGAGGAGATATCTGCAATCTTATTTTTGCTTCTACAGCTCAGTTATTCTGCACATGTGAAATATATCTTCTTATGAAGATGATATAGCCACATTCCCTCAAGCCTAGGAATCTGCATTGAAGAAGAAGATGTCATATTTAGGAGTATCATATTTATGCAGTCACTTACAGAGTGTGGCAGTTGCCTTAGAGAATGTGTTACCTACATAAATTCTATTATTTGTTACATTTGAAGGATGAACTATTCTCAGCTCTGTGTTTTTTTTTCCTGTTCTATTTGCTTGCTGTCCCACTGAAGTTTACTGTTCCACCGAACTTCTGTAGGAATACTGAACTATCTTTCTTTTCTTTTGTAAGTTTTTATAAAGTGAAAATCCATTAGAAATGTAGTATATTTTGCCTCATAGATATCGGAAACCACATAAGTGCTCTGTGTTTTTTTTTTCCTGTATGGTGTTTAAAAAAATAGACTATATTAGTGTGTGTGTGTATATGTATATGTACATAGCGTATGAATCAGAAGTGGTAAAGGAAATACCCGAAGCAAAGTAATGCCAGACTATAAGAAACTAGGCACATAGCCAGAAACAAATTCTAGAGATTGTCCTTGATTTTGCCTATGCAGACATAGGAATTTTGATGTTTTAAATTTCATTAAAAGAAGCATATGCTCCTTTAGTAGGAGCTTGTTGAATAAGTTACTGCTAACCGAGGGTGCATGGAAAAGCTAAATGAGTAGTGATTACTTGTCAATTTAAATGTTACCGTGAAGACCATGAAGAGATTTGTATTATTTTTATATTTATTTAGTGCCTGAGGTTGAGAAAAAGAAATACATGACATTAGATCACCAGATGATCTTCGTAACAGTGGGATGAAGCACATGTCCTAGTACATAGACAAAAGATCTTTTCATAGAGCTCTGATGAGGCAAGAAGCAGAGTTGGAGGGGATAAAATTTACTGGAATACACCACTTCCAATAGGACAGGGCTGCTGGAAGGAATTTCAGGGATTCTCTGAGCAGCTGCTTGGGTTGGGCACCCTTCAGAGAGCTGTTACTAGAACTTGGAAAGCTGCTACAAAGAAGTCCTCAAAAGCTCCTCCAGGTGGGAGTTGCTGTCTCCAAAGGCAGGAATACATCCTGAAATCTCATCTTGGTTGAGAGCATCGTTGTTCTGTGCTTTGGCTTGTGCAGTGGGCTTGTGTGACTCTACCACAGTTTTAAGTTAAGGTGCAACCTGTCATTTGAAAACAACACACCTTATTTGCTCAAACATATGTTTTTACACCTGAAGAGTAATAAGTAGGTTTGATTCTTGCTCATGTTTTTCCCTTTAGCTACTTAAAATACTTAATCCCATTTTGTTTATAGAGGTTGCACTTAATAAAAAAGGGATTCTACTCAGAATTAATACTTCTGCATTGCATTTCAAGTGTGTATCTCTCTTACTTTTGATATGGAGTTTTTGATTATGCATGGCTGTAAGGTGGTGCACGGGGAAGAGTTCAGGAGAAGACTGGATGAATCCATGGAAGAAAAAGCCTTTGAGGAATGCAGAATAGGTAGAATTCTGGCTGAAGAAGTCCCTGCAGATAAATGGAGGCCAAGGGAGTGTTTAGGAGAGGTGTTGTATGTGCTTGCCCTCTCATGTGTCCTGTCCTTCCTTCCATAATTGTCTGCTTTGGCTACTGTTCCAGACAGTGTCCTGACCCAGACAGATCTTCTAACCCAGTATGACTACTCTTGCTTTCTTACATTTGTGTTGTGACAGAATGCCGATATTTGCGATTGCAATATTGATACGTGGCGAATAATACATGCACTTGCAGTGTACAGCTCAGACCTAAACTTTTCAATAAAGTGAACAGAACAAATTTGAGAGAGGTTGTGCAGACAGGTCCATTCATAGCTGTAGGGTTATTAGTGGAGAAGGGCGACTATGCAAATGGCAGTCTCTAAAAATAACTCCAGTCTGCGTTGAAACAATTCAAATATGCTGAAAGGACTGGAATAATCAATAGGAAAGAATGAAGCCAATGTTGCTCACTGGCAACTTTGTCATGAACCTAATTTCAAAAAAGAATGAAACAAAATGGATCAAATTGATGGTTTGTAAAAGCAGTACACATAGGAAGTAAAATCAGAAAGATAGCACAGCCAAAACGTAAGTCTTCTACCTAAAGAGACCTATACATTATAAATGCCTCCACTGTGGTAAAGGAATCAAAGGTGAATTAGGATGGTAAATTCCTGCCAACTAAACCAAAAGCCATCTGTTTATTATTTTCAATCTAAAAGTGAAAACCTCGATTTTCTGCTCAGTTAGTTCAACTTCATCATCAGATAAATTATTAACTTCATCACCTCGTAGTTGTGTTAAAGGAGCAAATTCTTAAGCAGGTACAAGATGACAGAATGCTGAGAAGTAAAATCTGTAATGAGTGACATGCAAAATAGAGCCTTGCAGGTTCTCCAAGCGTCTGAGGAAGATACTGCAGCTGTAAATCTGTCTAGATAACATGTAAGAGGAGGAGGAAGTGGTTAAGAATGGTTATAGGTAACGGGCAGCAAAGGGAGCTGGTTGGATGGAGGCATTAGAAAGAGTGCCTGTTCCAGCACCAAATTTCATACTGGAATTGTTGCACATTCTGAAAGGGATTTTAGCACTTCCATTTGATGTTAAGTAGAATTTGATGTCTTTGGACACCTACCTCTTCACAAAACTAACCATTCCCATGTTAGATTTTTCATGGAATCTCCCCCATTTCAACTGAGGTAAACTCTGTGGTATAATCCTCCACATAAGGCCTAATTTCAGATTAGTGCTCGGTCCTCTTAGAACTGCAGGGAACACACTGAAAACAATGAATCTAATACTATACTTTTTTTTACACCATCAATTTGCACATTTTGACTACATAGGTAGCAATAGGACTGTGATGTGTCACTTTTGAACATTAGAATATTATTCAGAAGAGGAAAAATGAAAGAATCCAGGGAAGTGAAGCTGAGAATACTGGGAGATGTAACGTCAACAAAGGGGAAATTCAGGTAAATATGCACCACTTGGGAATAAGCTAGCAATTAGCTTATTCCCAGGGTCTTAAGGCTGGGTCTTAATTATTTGCACTTATTAGAGTCATAATATTGAATAGCAGAGATCTATTTAACATATATAAAACACAGAGTTACATCTTTTATTCTTAAAAATCAGCCAGTTTTGGAATGCCTACTAACAGTTGCGTTCCCTCATTAAAGAAGGAAACACTGTCATAGACTTGTGTTTTGTCTGTGTCCAAGTTGACTTTCTAGGTGCAATCAGTGCATATCAAATTCTGGTCATAACCTAGTGCTCAAATATAGGTCTACTACAGGGCTGTCTTGCACAGTGACTCTGTATTGCTGGAGACCTATAGACCACATGGCCCCATATAGAATCATAAGATGGTGGTAAATCGCAGTCACAGCTTGTACGGCATGAACTGCAGCCAGAATTAGATGGAGACAAATGTTCTGCTACTTCCTGCCAAGTCTGTGAACAACCTATTCTCTTCAGAGAGGTTTCCTCAGCCATAGTGCTGCTGAGGTAATGGAATGGCCTGTCTCAGGAGGAAGCGTTCATGCCAGCACTCCTTGCTAGAACAACTGCTATTCTTATGCCAGATACTTACAGGGTTTCCATTCTGTTCCTCCAAAAATGATGGCTTAATCCAGTGTATTTCAGTAAAATTAAAAGGTGTGTACCTACTTTTCTCTTTAAAATAGTTCATAGATTTCACAGTTTGGCCATCCTGAGGTGCATTCATTAGAAACAGAGTGGTAAATGAAATAAAATCTCAGAGGTCTAATAAAGTAGCAAGTACTATTTTAGATACTGTTTTAGTGACGCCCAGAGCTCTTTCCATTCTATAAGCAGTGTTAAGTGAGATTCATTTGGCCATCAGGTGAATTGTTTTCTAAACTGTAAAACCTGCATTGACAGAAGGTAAAAGAGTTCTTTCTTCTTGAGGCAGCAACATTCTCCCTGGTCTCTGGAGTTAGTTGGAAAGAAGAGCTTCATTCAAAGACCTATAAGCAGCAGAGAGGATCAACACATCCTCAGTATACAGAAGAAAAGAATACATAAAAGGAAGGATTGTTTTTTTTCTAAGTCACAACCAAAGTCTGAACTGTGGTCAACATGAGGGACTTTGAAAGTCAGTCCTTAAAGTGTGCAAACGTTCAACCAGTCTGCTAGGAACCACAGGTATAGTTAAAGCGTAGTTTCTTTAAGTTGAGAGCATCACAGTTACAAAAATTGAGTAGGCTGACAAAAAGCAAAACAAACCTAGATAAATATGGATACAGACATGAAAGATATTAGTGGGCATGGACAGTACAAGTATATGCAGATGCAGAAGGTGTCCCCTTGATCAGATTCATCTATGCTCTCCTGTTCCAGAGCAGTCATTTCAGAACAAAGAATGGAATAAGCAGTAAAAAATATGTGGGGACAGATCCTCAGACGGTGTGAATATGATACCTGGTATGGACTGAGTTTTCACCAAATCTATTTTTTTGTATCTAGGGGATTTTGACACCCATCATGGTGGTGAAAGACAGCACGTGGTGTTTCTTGCTCATGCTCCTCTCCAGTCTGGTCTGGTGGGCTCAATCTCCTGGAGGACACAGGCTGCTGCAGAGGTGGGGAATATAGCTGCCAGCCAGAAAACTGAGCTCCTGCTACAGGACTGTGGATGGAGGCATATGGGAAGGACTGTACCCTGTGGCATCAGGGGAATCTTCACCTCTGCCCTTCCAGATCTCTAGGCAGCTGCACTAGCAGTTGGGTTATTTGCATCACAGTCTGCCTGAGCACAAGGAACACGGTCAGCAGACTGTCACTGTACTGAATTATGAGACACGTTTTAAAAACACAGATAATAAAGTAATGGAAGCTAGTTCTTTATGCAAAGAAAACAGTGGTGGTGGGATGCTGTTATGCATCCAAAGTTCTCAGGTTGCAGGAAGGCTTTGACCTCACTGCACTTCTGTAAGCTGTAGAAAGCTGTAAAATTCATTAAACACAGGAGCTTCAAGGCATGTCACAGATATGTGCAGGCAGAATTTCCCTGTCAGCTGAAAAGGGAAGACCACAAGCACAAACTGGAGCAGAAAGGAAGTGCAGGGTAAGGATAACAGGTGCAGAAGGCTCAGGAGCCTCTGCAACAGTCTGTGGTTCCAGGATCATCAGTGAATGGTGCCTACCGTGACCTTCTAGCAATGGCAGCTACAACAGTTTCTGCTCTGCTCTGTTCAGTGGAGTTCTGAAATGTGGTCAGCCTGAGCTATCTATTGAACAGAAAGGGAAGAAACAAATGGTGGTGGGACTGGATGTTCAGGAAGCTCCTACCATGAAGGTTGAAAAGAAGATACTCAAAGCACCTGTAAGGGAGTTAAGGAAAACACAGTGACACCTTTGGTCAGGGTAATATCGGAGCTCTGGCAAAAGCAAAAGATGGAGTGTCAGCAGGA